CTGTATGTAGAATAGGCAACAATAACAGTGATTACATGCAGTGTCTGTCTTTACAATTGCATTGCTCAATACAGCCGATCCAACGTGTCACTTCCTAGCAACTTGGCAGAATTAATGTGACTGGAAAAACCCTGAAAGTATAATCATATTCTTTCCGCCGGAATAATAACTAACTCTGTTACCATTTCTAATTAGATTTTTATGACACAAAAAACATAGATTGAGTGTAAGTATACATTATGGTAACTCTTTGAAACTTCAGTTTCAACGATTTAACTGTCTCCACAATGTCAATAAATTGAAATCCCGAAAATGTAATTAAACGGCTAAACTGACTCCACGAACCTAGAAATTCAATGCACGAAATTTGAAATAGTAGGCCTACGGACGTTCACGATTTGTATGCACATTAAACAACATAAATTCCCCTAGAAATAAATCTAATGCGGAAAAAAATTGGAATGTCCCAAACTTAATTAATTTTGCGACGAATTAATTTGGAGACTCATAAATGGATTCATGTGTCTCCAAATGGTTTTAAAGACTGATATCAATCGTAAGACGATAATGCGTAAATTTCAATCACAAAGTTATGAAAGCGCAAAAACCTATAAAACAATATCTTCTTCGATGTCAACATACAAAGTCGACTGAGGAATTCTTGATAAGGAATTCCTGGTATTATCTCGACCTGTCATCTTAACCTACAAATATTGACTTTAAAATATGGGTAAAATGTAAGGGTTTTTATACCCGTAAAACAGCACAATGATAATCATTACAAATCAAACATATTTGATGTGATAATGATTGATAAATCTCTACAAGTTGAAACATGATTTATATGAACAATGCCATGACAACTGATAAGGGCATGAATGTAAATATGAATTCAATAAATACATTTATATACAGCCATATCAAATTTAATTGTATTGACACAATACGAGATATAAATCATAGGACATAGTTACACGTTATTACGAAAAATGTAGGGAAGACTGTATGCATGTAACCCCAATTCTCAGTAAATTCTGGATACAATATACATGAATCTATTTTCGTTAAAAGTTACATGGCCTAATAAGAAATTAAAGGCGCTTGCATGTACATTGGGAACGTAATATTTTGAACAATATCATTTGGCTGAATGCCCAACCCACCCTTCCTTACATAGTCTGATATTTCATACTCTATATTCTAAATGGGCCGACGCGGCTGTGACTCGATTGTCCGACAATCGGTTGTTTACGGTTGAATATTCAAACTAAGGTATTATGGCCAAGGTATTTGAGTTGCCCTATAGCGTTGCAGGCAAATTGATACCCATTTGGCAAGACTGAGGGCGGGGGAGGGGTGGTGGGATCGACACTTCCCCTGCACCAACATTAATTCCATTTTCTCTACAATGCCTAAGTCTCGACAATCATGATATGATACCGATTTAGATCAACTAAATCTGCTCCTGATTAGGCAAAATAAAAGTAATTCCCAGTGTCTCGTCCCCTTCTCCTTCGTTTATTTTTCAATCCGCCTCATTTTTATTATTTGCTTGGAAATTAAAAAATAATCTGAAGCCTTCTTAATGGGGTTAACAAAATCTTTAATATATTTCGGGGAAACCTTTGTTTTGAGCCTGAGCTCCGTAGCTGTGCACATACAAATGAAGTAAATTAATAATTAATGTTAAATTCTATCCGATGGCATTTGTATGTAGAGAAAAAATATCAATTTCAAACGAAATGGAACCCCTTCTCCTCTTCAAAAATCCAGACAAGAATCTAGGAATTAATTGGCATTTTGTTTATTTCGCCTTCCTCTATACAACCTCCTTCCCAACTATAACATTTACAATAATTATCACAGTAAAGTATAACATGTACTTCAGAGCCACGAAACGAAACGCAACAGTTTTGCCCCTTACCTCCTTTATGCATAGCAGGTAATTATCATGTAAAAGTCGACTGCGCAATAAGACTGCCGTATATTGCTACTGGGTTTTTCCGACATGACGTCATTGTTTGCAATGACTGCAAGGGGATTTCCCCTTACAAGATGCTATTCGCATGACAATATCCCATGACTAGCTGGATGGGAGTGAGCTATTGCGACATACTGAATCGGATCGCGCCACGTATTCCGCGGTATTTCAGTGCAGTAAACAGGGGTATAATAGGCATTCATCGTTGTAATCACGTCAGTCGGTAAAAAAAGATAGCAGCCAGCCACACGTAATGCTCAGCTCTAGCTGTTAGCTGCTGAATATTTTGAAAATATTCAGCCTTTTGTCTTCAAACGTCTTGTATTGGATCGTATTAATTCGTGCCATTGGTGTGACTAACGTTTATAAATTAATTTGCTGATAGATGACTGATATTATGTCTCTTCTCCGCCTGTGTTCTCTTCAAGTAACGTTAGAAGCCTGCAGAACTGAATGATGACGCCTTCGTACATGACAGTAAGTTCAATATAGTTGTCCACTTCTAGTAGCTTGACTTCAATGACTGCAGACAACTAAGGACTTTTCGTTCATTTGGCTTTTACAATCATTCACCCAGCTTGAATTCTGCTTGGAATTAGTTCTTGCGTGGAGTGCGTGTCGTTACAAAACTTTATTTTCCGTTCCTGATATATTTTTTCGTTGCATGATTATATATTTGTTTCTCATTCCCTCATTTAGACATTTATTTCCGGATATACTTTACCAAAATTTAAATGACTATCCTTTGTCCGACCCATCTGAATCTGTTCTTTATCAAGATTCAAGAATCAAATAACATGAGTGCAATCAACGCCAACGCAAATATTTTCGAAAACTCAACTTCAACTTTAATACCCTATGGTCTGTTTCATACTTCATTATTCCTAGTACTATATTGTTTAGACCAAAAGCTTCAGTCTCTCTAATCGTCGGTTGTTCCACTGAGACTACGTCTGGCTCCACTAGACCTCCGATTATATGGGGAATGTCAACAAACGTCAGTTTTATTAAAGAAATGACCCACATCAGACGGTTATTTCTGTCTATATATTGTTATGCTCGCACAACGCACACATGCAATAGGGGTTGGACGCGTCGATATAAATTCCCCGTGGGCTGATTTTCTGAAAGTCTTTCCGATCGTAGGTGTTAATCATACGACCGACTAAACTGATAATCACTGTCAAATCATATAGGAAAAGTAATCAGTAAAATGTTTCTGAACTTACCGCGGTATAAGGTGACCCACTTTGGTCCATGACCTACCAAACGAAGTAGAAGATCGAAGGAGAAGGAGAAGGAGAAGAAGAAGAAGAAGGAAAGAAGAAGAAAAAGAAGAAGAAGAAGAAGAAGAAGAAGAAGAAGAAGAAAAGAAAGAAAGAAGAAAAGAAGTAGAAGAAGAAGAAGAATTAGGAGATACTGAAGAAGAAAAAGAAGAAAAAGAAGAAGAAGAAGAAGAAGAACCCGAAGAAGAAGAAGGAGTATAGGAGGAGGAGGAGAAAAGGAAGGAGGAGATGACGAAAGCTTTGTAACTGCATGTAATTAAAGTTTTACTCATATCTTTAATACACTCAATCGACAAGATCCAACATGATTTCTGATATGATATAATTATGTATGCAAGATTTTCTCTGAACTGACGTACTTATCTAGACCGAATTTTCCGTCTCTTTCGTTCGTTAGCCTCTTATTGGGGTAGGGTCGGCTCTCTCTTTAGAGACGGAAGCCGTTTATACACATGTCCTTGCTAACGCCACGGCCAGTTCTGGTCGTAGCGTTTTGCCCCCAAAATCCCCCAAAATGTCATTTTACCTCGAGCATGTTATATTGTAAATTAGGCCTAGGCTATAATAAATCAGTTCCACTTACCAACTTGACTGAAATAATCAGTTTAATAGTCCCTTTTTAGGAAATTATGGGTCAAAATCGAAATCCATTTTGAAAATCTTTTTCAACATGGATTCCGATTTTGACCCATAATTTCCTAAAAAGGGACTATTAAACTGATTATTTCAGTCAAGTTGGTAAGTGGAACTGATTTATTATAGCCTAGGCCTAATTTACAATATAACATGCTCGAGGTAAAATGACATTTTGGGGGATTTTGGGGGCAAAACGCTACGACCAGAACTGGCCGTGGCGTTAGCAAGGACATGTGTATAAACGGCTTCCGTCTCTAAAGAGAGAGCCGACCCTACCCCAATAAGAGGCTAACGAACGAAAGAGACGGAAAATTCGGTCTAGTACTTATCTAGCTCATCTGGTACAAAGTACATACCAAGATAATAAACATTTTTACACGTTGATCCTAAATATAAATTGAAGCAGGCTGTCATTGACATTACTTCAGGCCTGTAATATTTCAAATTGATCGACTTGCACGTACTGTGATCAATGTTAAATAATGAATGAATAAATTCTGTTTCATTCCGCTTTCTTTTTAGGCATACCCGCTTAAAATATTGTGCAATTTAAGTGTGTCTGTCGCAATGCTATAGGGTACACGTATTTTCTATTTCGTGTCCGGACATGCAATAGTCATTGTGACTCACCATGCCAAGACGATTGAAGGGCCTTTCTTCATTCACGAAAAAGAAGTCACTAGACATGCTTGTGAGATTGGACATGACTGGAATCGGCGTAATTGTATGTATGAAGGCCTATGTATGTATACAATGTGTGATTGAATTTACTTTATTTATTTTTCAATGTAAAGTTAACATCAGTTTGGGAGACAGCTTTTCGTAAGGTATTTGTTTATTTATGTATTCATCTATCTTTCTATATAAATTTATCTATATCTAGACCTCTATGAATCTGTTTATTTTTGTAGATTTAATTTGATAACAAAACTTGTTGTGTACTCGTTGGTCATGGGTTTTATTTCTTTTTTGAAGTGAGGAAATCAACTTTTGTTTCAAACTTGGTTTCACTTTCAGTCTGCCTAATACTTGGTAGGTCAGAGACCCCGGAGTATCTCGGGTGAATGTCAAGCTAGGAGGAGATGGCGCACATACTCTCACCTCATAATGATGGCGCGGTGCGGTGCGATGTGATATCAAAAAATTCGCTCTCATTCGCCATCATTCTTAGGTGTAGTTAGCTCAGCCATGCAATTCACCAACAGCAGATCATCATCATCATAATCTTCATCATCATCGTCGCCCATAATATAGAAAGGTCCTGTAGGGTCCATCGTGCAGGACGGAGGGCATGGCCGTGGTATTGAACCCTTTAAGACTTTTGGCCGGGGTATAGGGTTCTGATAGGGGGGGGGGGGCAGACCAAGGCCGGTGTTTCATCGTCTGTTCCTCCTCAGAGTGTCACCTAGTTTTGCCATCCTTACCACAGGTTAATAATAACATGAGAATCGTCCTGCTCCAGTGCGAAGTCGATTGCACATTATGTTGGCTAGTGTAGTGTAATATTGTATTCTGTATAGAAGTTTAATGTAATCCTTCAACAATGGGATTAATATTAAGATCATCTCGTGTACGCTTGTACGGAATGTAATCCGTAGATGGTAATATTATTATTTTTAGTTGGTCCAGTTAATCCTTTATTAAAGATAAATGAATGAACCAGTTCGGTGAGGTTACAAAATGATAAATGTGTTTGCTTTAAATAATCTTTCTTGAATGTGCATATTTTTCCTTATCTCATTTATGGTTTTGATTGCAAAGACTCGTCGGGACAAGTCTTTTGCATTCATTTAAAGGTTATTGTACTCTTCAATCATAATCGCAAAATCAATAAAGACAAAATATATATAGATGTGAACAAACTTTGAATGTATACTTTTCAATAAAAATTGATTTGGAAAAGATATAAGTATAAACGACGTAGGGAATGTAAACAATGTAGGCCTAAAATATAATTTGCTTTATTTTATTACGATGTGAAATTCTAGTGCAAGCTCGCTCTAAGTAACCCTACAATAATTTATAAGCTTTATTTCATTAAAAAATGAAAGTGGTGAATACGGTGAATAATTTTTTTTTTTTTTTTTTTTAATGAAAAATTTCGTTATAAAGAAATACTGTGAAACAGAAAAAAATTGCCTCTTTTGGATTCCTTCATTGATTCTGAATCCCACATTGTTTCGTAAAAACAATGAGGGAACTTTTCAAAAGTAGACTAATCTTTACAAAAGGAAAAAAAATCAACAGTTATCGATATATTATATTGGTTCTGCTAATTTCTCAAACAATTTTTATAGTAAGCCCCAAAATGTTAAAAGGGTGCATTCCAACTTGACCAGTACCATGCAGTGAAAAAAAAACCGTATCATAATTATGAGCGGCTTTGTCAGGATAGTGCCAAATAAAAAACGACAGGGTTTGGTAACCTTGCTTGATATCATCATTATTTTTTTAAAGTGACAAAATACATGGAAACCAATATAAAAAAAATAATAATAAAAGAGAGAGGTCAATTTCTTCTCATAATTAATTTTATATCAAGAAGAAGAAAAAATAGTTGGTGATGATAGACAAGCTGAATACACCAGCAACAACATGAAGAAATTATTGCGAGCTGTTGACCTCTGACATCCACTTCCAGCTAACTCGAAAACACTTTCTATTTGAGAGCAGAATGGGTTACAAAATTATGCGATTGATTACATTTGGCTGCATGTAAAGTCGCAAACAAGATGAAAACTATAATCCTATGTATATATATAATTATACAGGTTAATGAAAAGGGAGAAATATGCTTCATGTACCTGTATTTTTTTAAACCATGTATTCGTTTTAATGAAGCTGATGCCCAATGACTTTCTAGTCAAAACATGTTTGTTCATCTTAATTGGTTTGCACTTATTTCTATTGAACTATTTTGAGGCATCACCACAAAATTTGTTTTGTCATTTTTGTGTGTAATATTTTGTCATTTTGTTATATAGGCTATGATGTGACTTTTACAAATATGTTTAACAATCTTTCCTATTTTCCGGCATTAGAGCGATTATGACGAAATTATTTATTTCTAAAAATTGGTATAAACGGTGTTGCACTTTACTGATGGTAATACAGGTAACATAATTTGTCAGAAAGAAAAAAACTATAAAACGTATTCCATTATGATACCGACACTGGAACTTTAAAATCAATATACTGGTACACGTAGGCATAGCGAATGTTGTTTCTCGTGTATGAAGGTATGAATCAGATATACATATATCAATAGAAATATTCATCGTTTTTACTCGCTGCAGAGACAGAGATGGATGGGGGAGGGGGTAGGGAGGGAAAATCAACACAAAAGAATCTATCTATGTGCCATGGAGCGAGATATTGAATCGAGACTTTGTTTGAAAAGAATGTCATGTCATTAAGCTACAAACGACAATTTTGAATGAGTTAGTAGCAGAATCTCGTTAGTGGCCTAAAGTTGTTTTTTCATTTTTTCATTTTGTTCGAGCGACATGGATGTTTCATTTCATATGGAGCTACGTGATATAAAGGCAACACGGGACAATACCAGGCATAATACAGTGTATATAGAGCTACTCTTTGATAGATCGCTGGCTGGGGTCAATTCATGGGGGAGGGGGGGGGGGGGGGACTGACATCATGTGGGCGGGGCGCTGGGAGGTTATCGGGTTAATGATAATAAATTGCGAATCATCATCATCATCATCATCTGCGCCTTCACGGGGACAAGAGAAGAGCAGAAGTAAACATAATATATTATATTGTATTTCAGAACTTCAACATCGTAAATTAATCATATTTTCAATAATTGAAGGGTTTTTCAATTTAAATTTTGTTTGTTGATTACAATTCTATGGCAATAAAACATCGGTTCTTCGTGTGACGAACATAATAAGTGATTGTATCTGCTGTATGCCATGTTGAGAGGGGTGAGAGGGTAGCAACAGGATGTGTGTATGCAAACAAATAGGAATATAAATCGAAACGAAATACAAAAAGCATGTTTTGAAATAGATCGAATGACTCATAGGCTGCGATATTGAAACCATTAATTGGGCTTCAATCCGTGGTTGGTTGAGGGGAAATGCTCACAAAGGAATCTATTGTGTTTTATTAATACTTGCCCCTCGGCCTATCCATGAGTAGAGTACGCCCCCTAGACAAAATGTAACATAAAGCGTTACACTCTTATTCATAGTCACTTTTGTTAATTATTATAGAAGTGTAAATCATTGACATTATTGTCTTTTTTCCTCGCTGGAATTTAAGATTGCAAATGTGTTGTGTTATCATCTCTGCATTACGTTCCCTAAAAAAATATTTATTAGTACATATTTATTTTTCTATTTCTGTTTATTGTAATTTTGACATTTGCTCTCCATTTGCGAACTGTATTTAAGTTATCCTTGTTCATAAGAAAATTATTGAGGATGATCCTACATGTTCGGATATTAATCAATACATTTGAATTTAGATTTATTTGACCCAATCCTTCTTATTCATAGGATAGGGGGCGGGTGGGGGGGGGGGGGGGGGGGGGGAGGGTAACAAGAAAGATTCTGACTAATGGGAAGAAGTGGAGTCAATCCAGTGCTTGTTTTTGGAGTCCATTCTGGATTACCCCAGCCATTTTTAAATTGTCTGTTCTCTTCCTCTCCTGGCTAGTATCGATGATAAGCCTTCCGTAGAGGCTACTTTTCTCTTCCTAACTTCCTTTTCAAACAGTCCTCATAATTGTTGCAAGACTCTGTTACCCGGGTTCCATTGTATATAACAAAAGAGAGCATAGGGTATTCGCACCCACCGACACCCATTGCTTTCAGTGTTTTCTATCGCAACAGCAACAACAAACAATGAGAACGTGTGTGTAGCTGGATATTTCAAGCATTCAGTTGCGGTGAATCATTCATTGGGGATTCCCCGACTAAATTCCCCGACTAAATTCCCAATGAACAATGGCAAAAAGTAATTGCGCAATGCGCCATATGGTGTCGTTTCCTTTTGATACAGATTTGCCTTTCCTATACAGCCATTGTAGCGGGGAACGAGGGCACAGTGGCAGATCCAGGGGGGGGGGGGGCCTGGCCCCCTCCCCTGTGAAAAAATTGGTAAAAGCACGTGAATTTAACTTTATTTGTTAAAAAAAAGAAGACGGGTGCCCTCCCATGGTGCTCGGGGGGGGGGGGGGGGGGGTGCGATTTTCAAATTTTCGGGGTCAAACAAAAATAAATTAGTGATCACTACCCCCCCCCCCCCCCCCACCCTACTGAGCGAAATATCGGCAGGCGCGATTTTCAAATTTTCGGGGGCAAAAAAAAAAAAATTAGAGCTCCTTACCACCCCCCACCCCTCCCCCTGTTTCGCCGCTAAATATTTCCCAAGAATTGGGCCCCCGCTTTGGTCCTCTCCCCTGCCGCCAGCTGGATCCGTCCCTGCTAGGGCATGCCCCCTCCATGGCAGCGGTGGATCCAGGATTTCCATGGGGGGAGCAACGTGTTCCGGGGTCAGAGAGCCCGGACGCTTGCAGAGCCTTCAATATAGCCGTCTTGAACGATAGAAACTAAAATATATCCAAGGAAATTTGCACTGCCCCTATTGCTTCAGTTCGTTGAAAATCATCTCTCTCTCTCTCTCTCTCTCTCCCTCTCCCTCTCTCTCTCTCTCTCTCTCTCTCTCTCTTTCTCTCTCTCTCTCACACACACACACACACACGTACATATTGAGGACAATGTTATAAAACAAACGGTTGTCTTGGATTGGGTTCAGGTGAATCAGTTCTATACAGGCGCGGATCCCGGATTTCTTAGGGGGGGGGGCCCAAATTTGAAGTTATGCGAGCCAAATATTGGTACGTAATGGTGACCAGCAGTGACGTAATGCGGGGAGGGGGTGGGTGCAGGGAGGGGCGAGTTCCCCCTCCCTCTTGACGTTTCATTGAATTATTAGAGAAAGAAGACGTTTCGTTATACCGTTTTCGAAAATAATCCTCGTCTAAATTCAGTTTTTCCCCGCCCGCGCAAAGCGCGGGAGCTTTTACGATTCATTAAACCATTAGAGAAAAAAGACGATTCGTCGTACAGTTCTCGACTCTAAATCCTCGTCTGAATTCAGGTTCCCCCTTCCCCCCTCCCGCGCAAAGCGCGGAAGCTTTTGCGATTCATTA